TCGTTGGCGAGTGTGGTGGACAGGGAGCTTGAGCTAGCTTGAATAAAGGCTCTTTTGCTTTTGCATTGGACTTGGCTCCCTGATGGTCTTTTGGGGATCCTGAAATCTGGGCTTAACACATTTCATATTCTCACCTCCTTATTACTAGTCTCTATTTGATGATATGTCATCATGATACCTCTTTCACTTTCAAAAAAATTATTTAAAAAGCATTACATATGTCCCCTTTTTACCCCCATAAACCCCTTCCATCCTTCACCAGCCCCCCACCTCAGGCCTTCAGCACCCTATTGTCTGTGTCCATGGATTATGCATATATGCATACAAGGTCTTTGGTTGATTACCTCCCACCCACCCAACCTCCTCCACTTTTCCTCAGAGGTTCTGCACTCTGTTCCATGCTTCCACATCTCTGGACCAATTCCATTCATCGGTTTATTTTGTTACTTAGATTCCACATATGAGTGCGATCATGTGATACTTGTCTTTCTCCGACTAACTTATTTTTCTTAGCATAATACTTTCCAGGTCCATGCTGTCTCAAAGAGTAAGAAATCCTTCTTTCTTTACTGCTGCATAGTATTCCATGGTATAAATGCACCACAGCTTTTTTATCCACTCATCTACTGGTGGGCACTGAGCTGTTGCCACATCTTAGCTATTGTAAATTGTGCTGCTATGAACATAGGGATGTATACATTCCTTCTGATGGGTGTTTTGGGTTTCTTAGGCTATATTGCTAGAAGTGGGATCATTGGTTCAAATGGCAGTTCCATATTTAACTTTTTGAGGAAACTCCTTACTGTTTGTCATAATGGTTGCACCAGTCTGCATTCCCACCAGCAGTGCACTAGGGTTCCCTTTTCCCCACATCCTCGCCAGCACTTGTCATTTGCTGATTTGTTGATGGTAGCCATTCTGACAGGTGTGAGGTGATACCTCCTTGTTGTTTTAATTTGCACCTTTTTGATGATCAGTGACTTTGAGCATTTTTTCATGTATCTCTTGACCATCTGTATATCATTTTTGGAGAAGTGTCTATTTAGGTTTTCATTTTGTTGATGGTTTCTTTTGTTGTGCAGAAGCTTTTTATTTTGATGTAGTCCCATTTGTTTATTTTCTTCTTAGTTTACTTTGCCCTAGGAGATGTACCTATAAACATATTGCTACGAGAGATGTCTGAGATTTTGCTACCTATGGTTTCTTCTAGGATTTTTATGGTTTCATGACTTATATTTAAGTCTCTTATCTATTTTGAGTTTATTCTGGTGTATGCTGTAAGTTGGGGGGCTAGTTTTATTTTTTGCATGTATCTGTCCAATTTTCCCAACAGCATTTATTGAAGACACTGTCTAGACTCCATTGTACACTCTTGCCTCCTTTGTCAAATATTAATTGAGCATAATGGCTTGGGTTGATTTCTGGGGTCTCTGTTCTGTTCTATTGATCTATATGCCTGTTCTTGTTGCTTGTACCAGGCTATTTTGATTACACTGGCTTTGTAGTATAATTTGAAATCTAGTATTGTGATTCCCCCAATTTTGTTTTTCTTTCTCAAGATTGCTGCAGTGATTTGGGGTCTTTTCTGATTTCATATACACTTTTGGAGTATTTGTTCTAATTTTGTGAAATATAGCATTGGTATTTTAATAGGGATTGCACTGAATCTGTAGATTGCCTTAGGTAGTATGGACATTTTAATGATGTTGATTCTACCAATCCATGAACACGGTATATTCTTCCACTTTGTTATATCTTCTTCTATCTCTTTTTCCAGTGTCCTGTAGTTTTCCAGTCACAGGTCTTTTGACTCCTTGATTAAGTTTATTCCTAAGTATCTTAATTTTATTGTTGCAATGGTAAATGGGATTGTTTGTTTAGTATCTCTTTCTGAGAATGCATTCATTATTGGCTGCATATTTGGGTTTGTGACTATGTATTAGGTAGATCTGCTACACCTCTCATCTCTAATGCAGGACAGTATCAAATGCTGTTTCTGTTTAATTAGATCAGGCAAAGACTGCCTGAGACTGCCTCTGTCTAAGACTCTACAGACTGATAGGATTTTGTCTTGAATTGCCTTCAGGCAATCGTCCACAGGTGTGGGATGAGTTTTTTCAACAGGGTGGGGTAATTGCTTCTGCTTTGAGGCTAATTGTTGTTCTCAGTCTCTTATTGGGCCTCAGAAACTCCATACCATGGGGCAAGGTGTTTTCCAATAGGGTGGATCTACTGAGGTCTTTCTGCAGCTACTAGGGTTCAGGAATCTGGAGAAGGGCTGTGCATAAATGAATGAAGAGACTAGAGAAGAAATATGAATTTGGAAGGCATTTTGGGGAGCCAGTTGGATACTTCATTCTAGTGACTAAGCTCCTCGAATCTCCAGACCCCTGGCTTTTTATTCCCACATTTTGCCCTATAGCAAAGCAGATATACATATCAAAGGTAAGGCTTGGTAAACAATAAAGGATTATCAGGTAGGGGAACTGCCCTCAGCTGTCTGGCAGCAGGCAATAAAATGCAGATCTTCAGCCCTGCTGAAAATGCCTATCAGCCTTCTGATGAACTTCTCAAATTTATTATGCCTTGCTGGACTTAGCCTCCAGCATGGATCAACTGTCTTCCCCCCAGGCAAACAGCCTGTTTAGCAAATATCTGTGTGAAAAGGATGGCCTCCACAGCATGAGGGAATGACTCAGCACTGGAAACTGGGTGTCTGCCTTCTGAGTTCTAACCCCATAGCCCCCAATCCTGGCTTCTGCTCACACATCTCCAGTCCACTCTGCCCTCCCTCTGCCGGAGCCCATGGTGAGTGGCTCCACAGGGAATTTTGTGTGTGTTGGGCCTTTAAGAGTGTGCTTGAATTTTCCAGCTGTCTCTCCCTGGCAGAGAGCAACCCTGCTGCTTTTATCAGAGTTCTTGCCAGTGAGTCTTCTGTTGATTTTTCAGGAAATTTTTCGGTATTTTAGTTATAATTTCAGTTTGGTCCTGGGAGCATATCCATGCAGCGTCCACTTACTCCGCTGCCATTTTTAATCTCTCCTTCTTCACTTCTTTAAGGTGGAATGTAAGGTGGTTGCCTAACATTCACTGGACATTTACAGTGGCCACTGTAAAGCTGTGTCAGTACTAAGTCCAACATCCAGGACCTCTCCCAGGCAGCTTATGTTGCCTACTTTTTCTCTCCTGTGTATATGTCTGTTTCCTGTTCTTTGCATGTTTCAAGATTTTTTAAATTGAAAATTAGATATTTTGAAGGCAATATATTGTGGCAACTGTGGATGTTGACCCCCTCCTTCCTCTCTGGGGTTGGTTTTACAGGTGTCTGCCTGTGTATGTGCTTGGTGACATGGCTGGACTGCAGAAGTACATCTCTTTCCCCTGCAGTGTGGAGACTTTGGTGTCACTCCTCAGAGGGTGCAGCTAGAGTGTGGGCAAGGTCACTGGGATGCAGAGATGGCAGGAGGCCTCTCTGACCATTGCTATCCCTATCTTGCCATTCAGCTGTCTGTCTCACTGGATGTAACAGCCAGTCTGCCATTTCTGATGATACCCAGGCATAAACAATGCACAGTCTTCTGGTCTGAGGCTTATTCCCACCCAGAAGGCTCTTCTTAGCTCTCTCTCTCCCCTTGGTTTTCATGGGTGAACTGTGGTTTAGCCTGATGTGCTGAACTAAAAGGAGCAGCCTGAGGCCTGAACTTTCCTGCACTGTTTCACATAAGGGCAGTTCCCTTGGGGAGCTCTTTGCAACTCTCTCTGCACTGTCTTTTTGCCAGCAGGATCTCTGCATCTTCTTGGCTTGTTTTTCCTGAGGTGGTACCTGCTCTATGAATGAGCTGGGTGGGGGCAGTCTGTAGGTGCTCTCAGCCTACTCTCACGGGGGAAGCACTGGGCAGAGGAAGGGCACCCCAAACTCTCGTGACACTCACCAGGAATTTAGCTTCTTTGACTTGGAGTTGAGAAATGTTGGTGGCCTGTCCCCCTCATATGATTCCACACCTTTTGATAGGAAGGGAGGATGAGGAGAGGAAGCCCTATCTTCTTGGCCATACCCACCCCCCAGTGAGGGGAGCTCTGTCTAGCTAGGAGGGTGGTAGCAGACTCACTGTACTCACCCAGTTTTGGTAAATTTTCTTGAATCAATATCTTTTCATTTGCTGAATGCACTAAGGACATTTCTGGAGATTATGTTTTTGTTTTTGTTTTTAATTACCTGTCACCTGTTTTACCTGCTTTGCTGCATGTGGGTCTTCATGATGCCTCGTGCTGCCATCCTGAGCACATGGGACCTTCCTTCCTGTTTCTGAACTAAGTTGATGCCTGTGGTTCTCAGACTTAGATGTGGTTGCCCACCTTGGAGGAACCTTAAAAATCCTGCTGTCTGGCAGATGGATTGTTTTGTGTTGATGTACATGACAGCGGTGAGAAGTGAGGGAAGACAGGACACCTGCTCTCTCTGAAGATTCTTTGCAGATGGGTTCTAGAGAAACACTAGCCTCATAAAGACAATGGAGCAAAATTCAACAGAGCTGGAAGCCAGTGCCCTTCACAGAATCATTTATAAACATATATAATGGTTAAAAGCCTTTCGAATGGCACAAGAAGAATTCTTCTAGTGACACAAGGGTCAGGGCAGGTGACTGATGTAAAGCAAAATAGCTACTTAACTGAAATGTTCAGCAATTACAATATTCCATTGCATAATGGCATTTAAAAATATGCTTTTATTGATTTCAGAGAGAAAGGGAGAGAGAGAGAGAGAGAGAGAGAGAGAGAGAGAGAGAGAGAGAGAGAGAAACATCAATAATGAGAGAGAATCATTGATCAGCTGTCTCCTGCACACCCACACTGGGGGTCAAGACTGTAGCCTGGGCATATGCCCTGATTGGGACTGAAACTTGGCCCTCCTCATTTATAGGTTGATGCTCAACCACTGAGCCATGATGGCTCAGTTGTATGATGGCATTTTTTTTTTTTTTTAGAGATGGGTCTCACTATGTTGCCTAGGCTGGAGTGCAGTGGCTGTTCACAGGCGCGATCCCACTACTGATCAGCATGGGAGCTTTGACCTGCTCCATCTCCGACCTGGGCCGGTTCACCCCTCCTTAGGCAACCTGGTGGCCACCCGCTCCCGGGAGGTCACCATATTGATGCTGAACTTAGTGCGGACACCCAATCAGCATAGCACACTACAGCCCAGAGCTCCTGGGCTCAAGCGATCCTCCAGCCTCAGCCTCCCGAGTAGCTGGGACTACAGGCGTGCACTACCCTATAATGGCATTTTATCAGGATGTTAACAGAATCAAAATGTGAAATACTAACTTTAATTTTCAAATGGCTGTAAGAGATGGCTTGGATGTGAACTGGAGGGGGTGTACCTCAACCCGGCCTGCCCCTATCACAGTCCTGGAGCCCTCAGGGAAAGGAGGCAACCTGGTGATCAGGGGAAGGCGATGCCCCATCACACCTCTGCTGCTGCCACTGCCAGCAGTGCAAGCCTCGGCCAACCTTGGTTACCTGAGCCTCGGGCAGCCCAGGGTGGCTAGGCAGCCAACAGCCAAGGCTTGCCTGCACCTTGGGCCAGCCCTGGGTGGCTGGGGGGCTGAGGGGACTGGGGGACTCTGGAGGCAGGTGTGCAGCAAGGCTGGGCCTGGCCTTGCTGCACCTGCCACCCCTGTGGGGCTGAGGGGACTGGGTGCCACAATCTTGCGGCTGTGGGCGCCACCACCTTTGAGGGAATGGCAGTCAATTAGCATATTCCCTTCTTATTGGCTGTGGGCGCTGCCATTTTTGAGGGCGGGGCAGTCAATTAGCATTTTCCCTCCTTATTGACTGTGGGCATTGCCATCTTTGCGACAACATGAGGGTCAATTAGCATATTCCCTCTTTATTAGATATATATGCATACCATGGCAGCTGCCTCTGCCTTGGCCCCTGCCTGGTGCACCTTTGGCCAGAAGGAAGGACATCTGGTAGGATGTGTAGTCTAATTAGCATATTATGCTTTTATTATTATAGATATAGTTATAGATATTTAGGTCCTCACCCCAAGTTTTAGCAAAGTTTTCTGTTATAATTACAATGCCCTTTAAGGTTTTAGAATAGATGGATCTTGGGGTGTCTTCCAAAACCACAAGTAATTCTCCCATTCTAGTGGACACCAGTGGGGTGTCCAACAGTTTAACTCAATTCTGACACTGTCTACCTGGAAGACTCGGTCCCAGAAGACTGTCCCTACTTCAGCGTCTTAGGTTGGCCACTGTAACAGGGCAGTGCAGACTGGGCTATAGACCCAGACACTTACTTTCAGTTCTGGAGGCTGGGAGGCCCAGATAGAGGTGCAGGGGGACTGGTGCCTGGTGGGAGCCTTCCTGGTTCAGACGGCGTCTTCTCACTGGGTCCTCCTGAGGCAGATCTGTATGTTCTCATTTATAAGGACATACTAATAAATCCCATTCATGGTGCTCCACCCTCATGACCTCAACACCTCCTAACACCATCTCAATGAGAATTAGGATTCGGCATGTGAATTTAGGGGGACAGACCCTATAGCTGAGTTAGCTCCCGGTGTCATGCTGTGAGCCCTAAGGGACCCATCAACAATTAGGTCTAACACAAGCCACATCCTCAGCCCATCAGGTCTGGCTCCGATTCCTTCTGGAATAAAGGAATCTTTGAGTCTGACTCATACCTGGGTGGCCAACAAGGAAAGGCACCAAAGCACTCATCTCAAACTTAAAGACACCCAACCCCCATGTGAATAGGAGGGGGCATGGCTGACTCCCCCTGGGAGGGACAGTCTCAAGGGTGTGACTGAAGGTCAGGTACGTTACTCCCTGCTCACAAAGCCCAGGCTGCCTTAGGAGGGAGGTGGAGGCCGCAAGTTTGCTTTCTCTGTGTTTGACTCAGGGAAGATTTAAAAATTGAGCCAACATTTTTTTTGTATCCAGAAACTATCAGGGTGATTATAAAAGGCCAAAGCCCTCAGCTAAGTCGGTTTGCAGTAGGCAATACTAGGAGCGTTCACAGCCAGCACGAGAAGCCGGTGAAAGCCAGGTGCACCCCTCACCAGGGCCTGCCTGGGGTGCTAGGGTCTCCAACCCCTGCCCTCAGGTGTCTGTCACAATCTGTTCCCTGTCTCTTCTTTTATAAAAGCTTTGCAGAACTCTGACCACAGAATAACCTTTATGAAGATAATGTTATTTTTCTTCTAAAGCTCAGCCAGAGTACCCAGATGCAGCCCTAAGAGTGAGAATGGTGTGGCCCCATCTTGTCTGATGGGCACAGAGCTGTCACTGTCACAAACACCTTAACACAATTCTGACAGTGACACAGTGAGCCCACACATCACGGGGCACAATCCCTCTGAAAATTTCACTTTAAAAAGTAGCATTTCCTTTCAATTCCTCATTTCTGGCAATTATTAGCCTAAATTTGTAATGAATGATTTATTTTTAAAGAGGCACAAAAAAATGATAATGAAGGGCCTTGGTTTTGAAATGGAAATGCAGAAGGATAGTAAGAAGATAGGAAAATTCCTTGACTACTGGAATAAGGAAACTGAGGTAGAATAACTAAACAAAGCCAAGCAATTTGAGCAATTTACAGCCAGGTGGGTCCCCACATGGTGGAAGGTGTTACCTTCCCTAATCAAGGACACTTAGGGTAAATGGTTTACACATTCCAGACTGTGCCAAGGCAGACTGGCCTTAGTCCCAGTTCCTCTTCAATGACATTTTAAAAAAAATGAAACTAACCAAAAAACTCCTGACCCCTTTATTTTTTGTTAATCCTCACTAGAGGATTTTTTTTCTATTGATTTTTAGAAAGAGTGGAAGGGAGAAGGGCAGGGAAGAGAGAGGGGGGTGGGGGAGAGACAGAGAGAGAGACAGAGAGAGAGAGAGAGAGATAAAGAAACATGGATGTATGAGAGACACATTGATTGGTTGCCTCCTGCATGCACCCTGACCAGGGCCAGGGATTGAACCTGCAACCCAGGTATGTGCCTTTGACCAGGAATTGAACTTTTGGCCCTTGGGTGCTCGAGCCGATTCTCTAACCACTGAGAAACACTGACCAGGGCACTCTGGACCCTTCATACACACATTTTGATGAATCAACACAATGAAGGACTCACCTGGAAAGGCTAATAAATATTCTGTTAGGACCCTCCCCTGAGACCTCCCTCAGGATTCTGTGGGGCCCTGTCTAAGAATACACCGGATGTTCAAGGCTTCTCTAAGCATGGGCCTAATTAGGGTGCTCAAGGCCAAGATACTTTTAAGCAGGTGCAAGGCCACAGCAATCTCACGAATACTGTGCCCTTCTGTAGCCAAATAATTGATGTTACTGTTGGCAGCTAGCCTTCATTGTCTAAGTGGTAATATATGTTACTGAACAGCTAGTCTGCTAGAGTATGAAGAAGATGAAGCTGGAGAGATGGAGCTGAGAGCTAGTACTGCTACGATGTAAGGTTAAGAGCTCATAGAGAGCTCAGATATAGCTGCCATGTAACCAGACAGTGTGCTGGGCAGGGGAGACAGGAGAAGCTGTTGAGCCAGAGAGGCTATAGCTCTAAGGGAGAGCTCAGGTACTATTTCTATGTAAAGCTATAGGTTTAGAGGCAGCATGCGGCTGCTCAGATAATAGCTGTGGGTATAGAGATTAATGCTGCTTTATGGGCAAGATATGTATTTATCAACCAGTGTCTGGCTGCCTGCCTATATGGAATTGCGGTGAAAGACTATATTTTCTGATGGCTATATGGCCTCTAGGCAGTGGCAGTTTGTCCTAGGCTGACCCCCAAACCTGTCTCCAAGGACCCCTTTTTCTCTCTCCTGTTGCTTCTTCTGTCTCCAGTTTTAATAAACGTACTCTCAAAATCACTGGATTGGTATTGTGAAATCTTTCCTGCATGAAGTGAAAAACCCTCATACTCTCGGTGGGCCCAGTCCTGTCAGCTAACAGAAAGAGAAAGGATAACCCAGTTTTGAACTATCTTTAGGAGAACGAGAGGATTAGGAGCAGACACCATTTTCTCCATAATTTGATTTATTCTTTTTTTAAATCGTTATTGTTCAAATTATTACAGTTGTCCTCTTTTTCCCCCCCATAGCTCCCCTCCACCCAGTTCCCACCCCACCTTCTGCCCTTACCCTCCCCACCCCTGTCCTCATCCATAGGTGTACGATTTTTGTCCAGTCTCTTCCCGCACCCCTCACACCCCTTTCCCCCCCGAGAATAGTCAGTCCACTCCCTTTCTATGCCCCTGATTCTATTATATTCACCAGTTTATTCTGTTCATCAGATTATTTATTCACTTGATTTTTAGATTCACTTGTTGATAGATGTGTATTTGTTGTTCATAATTTGTATCTCTACCTTTTTCTTCTTCTTCCTCTTCTTAAAGGATACCTTTCAGCATTTCATATAATACTGGTTTGGTGGTGATGAACTCCTTTAGCTTTTCCTTATCTGTGAAGC